ACATCTCTTTCTCTGTCAGGCTCAATTGCTCAGTTTAACAATAACAATTGAAGGAAACCTAATTGAGCAACTTCCCTGGGTACTGTTTAACTGCAGCCTGCCTGGGAAAAGGTGTGAAAATTTCTGCAGGAACTCTCTTCGTTTTCTTTTTCCCTAATTTAATTATATGCTTTCATTAGTGATGTTAACGACATAATAAAAAAAAAAAAAAGAAGCATTAGGAACTGGATAGCTGTTGAGTAATGAGGGAAGCTGGCATGTCTGAATGGAGGCACACATGTGACTTTACCTGAATGAAACTGAAATTCTGCCCCGGAGTTGAACTGTGACTTCATCCAAGTTTGTGGAACAGTAATGTTGGAGCTGTAAGTATGGGAGGTGCTGTACACAGCTCCTAATTATTGAATGAAAAAGTGTTCTAAGTTCCTGTACGCACCTTGTTTTGTCTCCTCAGAAGCAGTTACCCATCCTTGGTTTTGCTAACGATGAGAGAGAAGCGGATAGCAGGGCTAAGTTTCTTCTGCCTACCTTACTGATACCGTGCGTTTTGTGGGCATCAACTTACAGCAGCTCTTGCCTGCTAAAAGTGTGTGGTTTTGCCAGTGCCTCTCTGTCAGGACACTCCCATGTCCAGGGCTCTAAACTCCTTTTATAATTACTGCTGGGGTGGTTTGAGGAAAAAGCAAACATTTCTTAGCAAATACCTGCCATTGGATTCAGCTAGCTGATGGTGCTGACTGTTTGCTTTGCAGTATATCTGCTGTTCTTGCTGGGCAGATGACATTCTTTCAGAAATCTTCGTGTTTTGTGACAGGTCTAAATTCCACTGGAGAATATCAGACAAAGTTGTTTTTCGGTAATGACGTGTTGCAAGCCAGTCTCTGGGCTGGATGCCCGGGCTTCTCCTGTTTTCTGGCTATGTAGTAATGTGAAAACTGTAATGGCTGGGTCTGTTTTTGTAGCTAAGGTATTTTTCTATTAACAGGTAGTTTCGGGTCTGCCCGGGTGTTGGCAGAATGGGAGTGGTTAGGATGTTGGTGAAGCTTGGAGAGGATGGGCAGTGTGATGTCTGCCTCCACCAGCTGTGAGTTTTGCCCAAAACCCAGTTCTTCTCCTTCCCACTGCTCCTGGAAGTTGGTGGTGTTGATCTGCCACAGGAACGCGTGGGCGTAGCTGGCAAAATACATAAAGGGGGAATAGCAGGCGGGTCGTGCCATAATGATGTGAAGTCAAACTTTTAAATAAGGTTTAATTTTGAAATATGGAACTGTATAATAATCTGCAAGCCTTTACTTTAGCAATGTGATTTTAATTGCACACACCCGAGCTGGAGAACTTGGGCTTATTTCTTAGTTGCGATGCTGTCTCTGAAACTCATTGGCTCTTCTGCTGAGGAACTAATTCTCTTAAGACTGTGTAATTTCAAATCTGTGCAAATGAAATAGCTGAAACATAGCATCAGGATTGGATTCACAAGTGGCTTGGACAGCTAGAGCTCGTTTTTCTCTGAACCCCCACTCCCCTTTGGGCAATGAACTGGGTCCTGCCTGTAAGACATTCTTCCTAGTGGGTTGCTTTTATCATCTGAATAACTTGATTCTGTCTGGGCTGTCCTTTTAATCAAAATCACCACCAAGAAAAGCAGAATGTCTAACTTGTCAGAGAGTCAATTTGACAGCTTGATTGAACTTGCTCAGGTATTCATTAAGCGCTGCTAGAGCGAGCTGGGAGAATGGAAAGGAAAGACTAACAATACTCTAGTTTTTAATGTGCAGAGCATATTCTGTGCATCTCCTGGTATGCAGGGAATGAAACTTGTTTTAACGCAGATGTTTCTGCAATTGCTGGAACACGGGCAGGATACCTCGAAAGAGTCCCAGGGCGCAGAGGACCATTACAAAGCAGACCATTGCAGCGCAGTTCATCAGGTTGTCTAGGACGCCAGTGCCAGAAACGAAGGGCCTGAGCCTCCCTGTTTCGCAACTTGGTAAATAGGCTTTAATCTGTGACCGTAAATTAGCGCGGCTAAGTCACAGGCACTGTTTTCTGATGGAGTTGAAACTGGATGCCGGAGTAAGTGCTTTGTACTTTCAATAAACTATCATTGGTTTTGTTGTAAAAGCACGGTGTTTGTTACTCATTAAACCTCTCTAACTTTTGAACTCCCCTTCGCCAGCAATTTTGCCTTCTGTTTATGTACTCTCTTAGGGACATGGTTTGCTCTACAGCGTGTCATACGGAGGAGTCTGGATCCAGATGTGTGACAAGGACCCGTGCAACTACAATATAAATAACACAGAAGTGCGTTATAAAAAAATAAATCTAATCCACAGCTATTTTTGCTTGTTTCCTGTGACTTTGTAAACATAAGCAGTGACTGTGTACGGGGCTATACAAAATACAAGGATTTAAAAAAATATCCAGCTGCTCCGTGTTGGGTTTCAGTGGATTCCGTAATGAGCGAGTCAGATTGCTATATATGCAAAATAACGTCTGGCTTCTGATGGCCAGGCGCTACAAAGTCACACCGAGACTTTAAAGCAAAGCTTTTTTCCCCGTGGCTCCTGTACGCATTATTGGTCATAACAGCCAGAATTCAGTTAAGAACTCACCGACGTCAGAATCCAGCCCAACTGCAAAATAAAATAAAGCTGCGTTGCTTTGCAGAGAGCAAATGTGAATAAAAATAATAAATGCTATTTTTACATTTAAGCCTCTGCAAGTTTAGGGCCTGTATTTATGTAGGGCATGTGGGCAGTTTTAATATGTAAAATTGAGCATATAGACAGGTGTTTGTAAGATCAGGGCATTGGGCACTAAAAATAAAAAAAGAACATCTCTGAATAGGATCAAAGAGAATATTCTTGAGTAAATGGATATCATCTTTATGCGTGTGCATGTTCTAAAATAAGTCCAGGCTTAATAACATCAGTTTAGTATTTAAAATTTCCTTATAGTCATCTTTTTCTCAATCATCTTTCAAAATCGTGTTTTAAAATAAAGTAGCATATTGCATTTCTGAGCTCTTTAGCATGATTTCTATTTTTGTGGGCTTATTTTTGGTAGAGATAAATTTGATATTGTGACCTACATTTCTTTATTTGAGATAGCTAGGAATGATATCTCTAACAGTGATTTCTTTCATGCTTTTGCTGAAAGGCGTTGTTTTACAATACATTTTCCAGGCACGTGAGATAAAAAGGAAAGGAAGTAACTACAGAGAGTAATTAGAAATAATGGACAGCCTGTGTTCTTCAAAATAATTTAATGAAATGCTCTGCTCCGTAGTGTTATGAATCATCTTTGGTCTTGATCCTTACAGGAGTTTTTGCTCACATGGTCTGATGTGACCAAGCTTCTGCGATAGAACTTTCCGAGAGCAAACGTCGATGCTATTTAGGTCGTGCTTTGGACCATCAGATGTTATCTTTCATTAAAATTTTGAGTTATTACTCTCTGAGCAGCATCCTGCAATCTCCTCTTTCCAAAAACACCCTCAGGAGCTGTAACCACATTGCTATGTGTCTTCCCAAAGCTCTAGCAAGTGATGTCTGGCATTAAAGACACCCAGGTGTGTTTGTCCTCCCTTGGACTGAGCGCACAGGTCACGCATAGCTTCATCATCGCAAATTGGTCATGCACGAATACTGACAAAGCTGAGCTGTCTCTGGCTTTGCGTTAATATCTCTGCTGCAGCCGAGGGGTTTTGAAAGTGAAGTCTGGCACTAATTTATGAGAGCGATGTGGGGAAAAAAATAGGTCAGCAAGTATGAAAGGTGCTGACAAGCATATAATATCTAGAGATTGTTAAAGAGGAAAAAGAAAAAAAAAAAGCTTTAAGACTGCCTTTCCAAGTAAGCAGGCTGTTGTGCCTGAGGTTTCCTAGGCATCAGAGCGGGGCAGAGGTGAAGTAACTTGCTGGAGGACATGTGAGAAGGCTGTGGCAGAACTGGGGGGCAGTTCGGGAATTCAGATTTCCTAATACCACATTCTTTGAAAGGAAGCTAAGAAAATGGGAACGGGGCTGTTTGAGCAGGCTCGTCGCTTAGAAAACTGATCTTTGTAGTTACGTACCCCAGTTGTGAACAGATTCAGAACTCGGAGAGGCCACCCTTCTGTGCTAACTCAAGTTGTTCAAACTTCAGCTCTTTCATTTCTGCATATTTAAGGATGAAAAAATTGCATCATAAAAAGCAGAAATATTAGAAAGTTGGATGCTAAAGCGATAGCTTCTATTTAAAGCATTATCTCTGCATTTATACTCCGCAGCTAAGGTTAAACTGACCTTGCCTTTCATGAGGCAAGGGAGAGCTTGTATCACAGCAAGAAACATCTGTGCAGACTGCACTGATTCACTGGCTACAAGCACGTGTGCGTTGCAACTGTGAAGAAAGGGAGTTCTGAAATCACTGACGTGCTGCTCTCAGTCAAATCGCTAGCGTCATCAAAATAGCCTTTATGGCACGTGTGAGGCATTGGATCTATCTCTTTCCTAAAATAACCTCCAATTGCTTATGGCAGGCTTTTGGGACTTACTGCCGTGACTATTTTTTCCATTTTCCAGGGCTGGGTTTTAAATTTCTGTATGCCTTCTCCAGTATCTAGATGCTCAGCAGTCAGACTGAGCAGCAACCAGAATCCTCACTGTAAGCGATGGAAGAGGACAGAGCAGGATCTGATTCTTCTCTCTAGACACCATGGATATTTTGATGTTGTAACTTGCAGCTGAGTTCCTTGTGGGCTGAAAAGAGTGAATATGATTGACGCAGTTTTTACATAGCACCAAAGTACACCCCCCCCACACGTACACTTGCACCTTAAAGGAAGGAAATGGTGCTAGGATCCTGGAAAGGCTCCTCAGCTGGGAGCTTGGGATGGGGGGGGTTTCCTACTGAAAATGGCCCTGGGAGTAGGTCACTCTTCCTTCCCGTACAAGCTTTTAATTACCTGCATATTTCCTACTTTTGACGCTAACTCTTGCTTTGTTCTTGTCTTCAATTCAGGAGCCGTAGCTCTTCTGCCCACTTGTAAGTGCAACTGGTATGGGTAATGGTGTGAGAGAAGGTCAAGTGGATTTCAAACAGCAGGATGTGGAGCCAATTACATCAACCCATCTTCCATCAGAGGTGAGAGCCGGAGATTGTTGGGTCTATGCAGTGGGCTTGAGGGAAGAGCTGCGTGGCAGCTCTCCTAAGGAAGCATCTCAACGGGATATGAGCTGCAGAGTCCTGAAAGAGTTGCAGTGTGTGTGTGCAAGCCACACAACGCGTGACTTTTGCTTTATCTGAAGATAGCCGAGTGGTTCCAGCCCTCTGGGAAGAGGCTGGGCATCGCTCACAGCTGACAGGCAGGCAGGGCTGCGTTCCTTGTTCAAGGTTACGTCTTGTTATGTCTTTAGCGGCAGAGCTGGGAGGAGAGCCATAAGTCTTGGTTTCCCTGCTCTTGCTGCTGTTACTAGGCTCCTGCTAGAAACACTGGAAGAGACGCTGAACCTTGGTCTGATTTAGACCAAAACTCAGGCTGAAGTTCACACAGTGCTGCCTTTGCATGACTACCCTTGCGTTTAGCACCAGACAGACAAAGAATGGAATGGAAAATTGAACTGAACCATGTATTTTGGTAATAAACATTAACTTTTTAGCTGTGAAACGCACTGAAAAAAGAAAAATGTTAACTCCTCCATGAACACACAAAGCATATCAAAAGTTAACATTCTTCAGCCTTGTCTTGACTTGTCTTTCAGTCTGTAACCTTCACGGTGTTAGATTTCAAGTCATTTACTTGCTTTCTGCCCATGTGTTATGAGAAGATAGCTGCTTTATAAATATGAGCTGTGGCAGGAATGTCAATAACAAAAACACTTCCATTCTATTTATCATAGTAGGAAACCTGTCTTGTTTTATTCTTAGGATCTTGGGAACAATGTGGAGATAGGGCTTGTTTGTGTTACTGGAAGGGCAAGAAAGAAACTTACCTTCTGTACATGGCTAAATCACGAGGAGGCAGCGGCTTAAGCTTTTAGAAATCTTAATAGAGAGAACAGTACATGTACGAGGTGGCAGACCTTGGAACTTTGCATCTTGGTGGGCAAATCTAATCTTTGTTCTTCACGGTCTGATCAGGAATTTACTCTACTTGAAATTTTGAAGAGAATTTTGACCCAAGTCCTCGAGAGGGTGTAAATGCTGCAGCAAAGGTAAAATACTACAACTTTTGCTTAGGATTGACTGTGCCGTACTGAACAATGCTTTGTTCCAGGATAACCAGGAGAAAAAGAAAGTACTCAACTCCCTGATGTCTGGCGCATTGGCTGGTGCTGTTGCTAAAACTGCAGTAGCTCCACTGGATAGAACAAAAATCATGTTTCAAGGTGAGTCCCGTTGGCTTTTGCAAAATGCTCTTACTTTACTGTTAGCAGAATCCAAAAGAGCTGCTGTGATCTGGTCAGCCAGCCTGCTCTCCAGCGCTTTGCCCTTCTTCAGTCTGCAGAGACCTGGCAGGATGCAGACAGAATAGGGACGTTCCCACCGTGAATTGAGTCTAAAACCCTATTGTTTGATCCTTGGTAGGATTATTGCAGGTGTCGATCAGCTGTGCATCTGGCCCGTACTATTGGATCCAAGTCTCACGGTAGTCAGCAAGAGCTTTGCTATTTCAGTGTAACACAGATGCACGCGTTGCTGGTTAGAGACAGATGCCTGTGGCTCATGAACGTTGGCTGGCCCCACGGCTCCGTGACACGAGGGAGAGTTTTGGAGTGCAGAGGAAATAGGCACTGTAGAGGCAGCTTTTGAGGGGACGACTGGTAACACTCTGGATTTCTGTGTCTGTTCAGCTTGGAAAAATAAGGCAGGGAGGGGACAGGAGCAATATAAGGAGGTGTGGTGACACTGGAGGGAGGTACTTGAGCTGTTTGAGTTTCTTGCTGAAGGCTGGATGCCAGGCTGTGCCTGCTCGAATGTATGCCGTCTTTTCTAGGAAGAGTTGCATTGCATTGGGGCTGAATTGTTTTGGTTAGAGTTGAAGTTAACGCTGAGAAGTACTGCAAGAGGCAGTGAAGCTGGCATACCTAGCTTTGTACTACAAAGCCCTTTTTGGAACCCGTAAAGTGTGCAACTGAAAATGAAATTCATTGAATCGGAATAGAAAATTCTCATGTGTTTAGCGGGATTTGGGATTCAGCCCCATCACGGGCTCTGTTCAGTTCCCCTGTTTCAGTGCAGGAACTGTCAGCTGCACTAATTGTCCCAAAGGGAAGAGTGCAGACTGTTAATACAGTAGACATTTGGTGAGGCCAAGAATTTTCAATCTGGTTGACATCCCAGATTAAATGAATTGGGTAGGTTTAATCTAATCCCTGGATGAGATTTAGTTTTGAATTGACTTTCATTTGACATGATTTTCATTCTCAGCATAGCAGGGGCTGAGGTCTGGAAGAGCAGGGATATAGATCAGGGAGTTCCAGCTGTAGGGAGCTAAAGCCCAGGCTGGCTGCAGGCTGGGATTGCATCTGTGACCAGATGCTCGTGCAGCGATGAGGACGTGCTGTGCTTTCTCACCAGAACAAACACTGTAGTTCATCTGAGGTTGGAAATGTCAGGATCAGAGGTGAGATGGAAACTGCAGAACTGGGGTGAGTCAACAGCTGTCTGTGTAAATCACCTTTAATTTGTACAGGCCTCCGTTTATAAAAGGACCTGTTTGGTTTGGCCCATTAAACTCGCTGCAAAGGATATGATTAAAACTTGCCTGTTCCGACTGATTTCTTAGTATCTAATGTATTTCTTAGTCTCTTGCTCTCCTAAAGATTTTTACTCTGGGGCCTCTTCCCTGTCTGTGAAAAGGGAAAGCATCTTTGGGTCATATAAGTGTAGGAAGGTTGTCCCTTGAACCAGAGACTGAAGGATTTTCCTGAGGGAGAGCAAAAAGAGCTCTTTTCCATTGCAGAGCCAGCTGCAACTGGTTATTGAGGTGTTTTTATTTCTTAAAAAACAAAAAGCGTTGAATTGCATAAAGGAGCAGTGTGGTGAAAATGTATTTGCATGTGATTGTTTGATACACTTGAGAGGTTACAAGTCTCAAAGGAGTTTGAAAGAAACTGCAACAGACACTTAATTGGAACCATGTTTCATTAGCGTTGCTGTTCGGGTTTTAGCCTGGGTTTCCTTCCTGCTGTAGGAATGTTACAAAACAGAGCTGCTGTATGCCAAATAAATCTTGCTTCCAAATGCCTTGTGTATTACATAGTTAAAGAGATGCTGTCAGTTTGAATGGATGCAAGAAAAGAAACTGATTGTTCATTTGAGTTTTGCTAGGATGAAACCATTCTTGCGTGGAGCCTCACTAAACAGACCCGTTCTTTGCTGGATTCTGGCATTAAGCTGGAACCTGTGCATGGAAATGCTCTACTAAAATAAGTGGTCAGTGCAGTTTTCATATTTTTTAAATTTTTTTATTTATTCATTTATTTTTAGTGCTTTAAAGTAAGAAGTGTGACGGAAACTGAGCATTTTCATAACAGTAGGTGGAAAAATGAACTTCTATGCTAAAGAGAGTTTGGGAGCACTTACCAGTGGAAAGTCTTTGTTTATTTTAAAGAATCTCTATTTTCTCTTGCATTAATTCTTTTGCTTCTACTTTTATCCCTTAGATAAAATGCCTGTATGATTTATTTGATCCATCTAAATGTATTGCCAACCTAATGCTCATTTTTTCTTTCTAGTGTCTTCAAAAAGATTTTCTGCCAAGGTGAGGTGATCTGTCTGTCTCCTGTTGACCTGAAATGTTTGATTAATGGTAGTAATAGCCCTAACAGCATCTTTTGTTTGTATTCATTTAACTTTCTTGCTTGGGTTTTATTAGCAGTACTCATAGTGAAAGAGCACAGAGGGAAAGACTGGAAACAATATTGTTTATAATACTCCTTAGGACGGTGCTCATTCATGTTTTTGTCCAGTGCCTAGCACAGAGGGGCCTCCGTCCTCGTTCATACTCCAGGTTCTACCTGCGACATGACAGTAAATGTGGCATCGCTCAGGGCTTTGTTTTGTTGGACCGTCTCCTCTAGTGGTTGCTTTCTTTCCCCAGCCACCACTGGAGTTGTTTCAGAATATATAGGAAATTTGAATTTGGGACCTGATCGCTCTCATGGCTTGCTGAATGCTTTGTCACGTGTGCATTACAGCTGTTCCATGCGTGCTGTGCTAATATGTGTAATCCAAATTTTTCAGTCTTATACTAAGAAGATTAATTTGGGTTGAGAAATGGTTTGTGCAGACAGCAGTCCAGCTCTGTGCCTTGCCCTTGGAGGGAAAATGAAGATGTCTTGAATGTAAAACTCTGTCTTCCTGACTCCAGTTCTTTCTCACTCTAATGTATCTGATTCAGTCTCCCCAGAGAAGACGTTTTAGTTGTCTTATTCTGGAGTCAGGGTTGTGAGCGTAAACAGCTGATATCAGCTTAGTGTGGTTGGGGTGGGAAGGAGGATTTGGAGAGGTTAAGCTACAGGGTCACCTTTTCCCCCTCTATTGTTTGGACTCCCTCTTATCATGATCTCCCTGTCTGACCTTTGATCCGTTGCCTGCAGGAGGCCTACAGGCTGATTTATCGCACCTACCTCAATGAAGGCTTCTGGAGTCTCTGGCGGGGGAACTCAGCCACCATGGTCCGTGTGATCCCGTACGCTGCCATTCAGTTCTGTGCGCACGAAGAGTACAAGCAGCTCCTGGGGAGTTACTACGGCTTCCAGGGAAAGTAAGATGCAGCGTGGCTTTGATCCTTGCAGAGGAGGATGGAGCAGTTTGTGGGACCGTAGATCGTAGGGAGGGAGCACATTTCTCTGCTTTGTGCAGGCCTGCTGGGGTGAAAGCTCTGTTGGCGCAGAGTTGTGCTGGCCCCACTCATGACGGCTTCGGAGAACAGCGTGTGTGAGGGGGGCTAAGCACAGGGCTGGGCTTCTAGTCTTGCACAGGGGAGATCTTTGTGAGAAGAAGACCCTGTCTTCTAGAGGCATGAGCAAGAAGTGGCCTAGACATTGAGTGAGCACTTCCCTGTGCTGAGAGTGGGCAGGCAAAACAAAGAGCTTTTCTTTGCAGGAGAAGCAACAAGATCCAGCCTTGCGCTGTTATCTGAGCCATGCGCGCGGCCTGAGCCTCTTGCTCTTGGGCATGTAGTGTCTGAGACACCCCAAGTCAGGCTTGCTGTCCTCAACAGATATTTCTCTAAGCCTGTGTCTTGAATGGCTGTGGCAAACCACAGCTGCTTCAACCCCCACCCACCCGCCTCTCTTCAGTACACAGGCAGGGAAGGGATTCAGTAGCTGATAGAGTAGAGCCATCCTCAAAAGCCACGTAGTATTTCCATCTCCAGGTGATCTGTTTGGTCTCTTCTCTCACCTTACTTTAGAGCGCTGACACCCTTTCCTCGATTCATTGCTGGCTCTCTGGCAGGCACAACGGCTGCCATGTTAACCTACCCCTTGGATATGGTCCGTGCTCGAATGGCTGTCACGCCGAAGGAGATGTAAGTGCCTAACGAAAGCAAGTACAAGCACCACGAACAAATGCAGAACTTTCTTTTAAGGTCAGATGACTTTATTCCCATTTTCTGGGTCACTTCTTGCTCGGAGCCTTTGGTGTAATAAACCTCTTACTGCTGGGGTCTGAGCACTGATTAAATGACCAGAGTCCTGGCTAGTCCAGGGGCTGGAAGGAGATCGATACTGGAAGACCTCACTAGTAAAACTTGTGCGTTGGTTCTTAAGGAGGCCAGCTGGCACAATGCCTCCAGAAGAGATCGAGCAGACAGGATAGCATGTTGTAGTAGGGCTACAGGAGAGCTGGTGCCTGGCTTCTCCGTTTGTAGACAGGCTTCTGAAATCCCTTCTGAGCTGTTTGATGAGCTCAGAGCCGAATTAATTAATTGTTGATCCTTCAGAAAGTCCTGTTGGAAATATTACTGGTGTGGGCAGTCACTAACCAGCGCAGATTTGGTTTTCCTGTGTCCACATGCTAGGTACAGCAACATTGTTCATGTCTTCATCCGAATATCCCGAGAGGAAGGATTGAAGACATTGTATAGGGGATTTACACCAACCATCCTTGGAGTGATTCCGTATGCTGGGCTTAGCTTCTTCACGTACGAGACGCTCAAGAAACTACATGCAGGTAAAGGCAACTTGGTTTGCTTTCAAATGACGTGGTGTAGTCTTTTGGCCAATTTGAGATGCTTGAATTCAGTGATGCAAGTCCTTTTCCTGGCCTTGAAGCCAATTGCGCAGTTCTGTGCTTGTGGAGGATGCCTCGTGCCCTCGTCTCTCCAATTCCAGACTGTGATGAAGGCAAGAAAAGCAGTATCTCTGTCTTGCAAAGGACCAAGAAGGTGCAAGTCCTGGTGCAGGAGGACTTGGTTATATACCAAGTCAGCTAACAACAAAGTTGGAACAAAATCTCAGGAGCTCTGGCACTCAGCACTCTCTTTGGCTCTCAGCCCACTTGACCTTAATCATGTGTTTGTTACAAGCAGCTTTCTACACTCTGCTACTTTCTCTTTCCCAGATCACAGTGGGAAACTGCAGCCATCCCCTCCGGAGCGGCTTTTGTTTGGTGCCTGCGCAGGCTTGATTGGCCAGTCAGCTTCGTACCCCCTGGACGTGGTTCGCCGACGAATGCAGACGGCGGGGGTTATGGGACACACGTACAGTTCCATCCTTCTCACCATGCAGGAGATTATAAGAGAAGAGGGACTAATCCGTGGCTTGTACAAAGGACTCAGCATGAACTGGGTCAAAGGTCCAATTGCAGTGGGAATAAGCTTCACAACCTTTGACCTGACGCAGATCCTTCTCCGTAAATTACAGCACAGCACTAATGTTGAAAGGTAGTAGCTTAATCCCCACAGCCCTTGCTGGGGAAAAGTACAACACGTGTAGAAAGAGCAATGCTAGCGTTCCCTCACTTTGTACATGCTCTCCTGCAGCTGAGAACTTAACCTTTCTTGTTTGTTTGTTTGGTTGGTTTGGTTTTTCTGTTGTTGTTGGATTTTTTTCTTCTTAATGAGCCTCTGAGTTATTTGGAAACCGCGACCTGAAACTAACTCTTTCCGAAACAAAATCCTTCTTGCAGTTCTGCAGAACTGAGTCCTCTAAAGTAGCTGCCTCACTCTACTGTTTTACTCTTTTTGATACCAGGAGTGGAGCCTCTCAAACAAATATGTGCTGCTGCTGGCTCCTCACCTGGTCTCTGTGGACAGATGCAGCGGTGGATGATGAAAGAGAGGACTTGGTGCTGTTGGAATGAACCCCTGAATCTGGGAAGTGACTGCTGCTCCTGGTAGGCAGTTTTTAGTTACTGAATGTGTGTTAGCTGGAGGCAGGCTGCCAAGTGCAATATTCCAGTTAGTCTGCAGGGAATTCCAGATTCCTCTGACCTGTAAGCATCGGTCTCCATAAAACAGGACACAGCAGGATTTAACAGGTCTGGGTCACTTCTTTTGTTCTGGAAGTTGAATGTGAGCTCCAGCTGGAAATGCTGCCCGTTTTCAATTGTTCTTCTCATTTCTGGGTTTTGTTGCATAAAATATGCCTTGCTTGCAGTGTCCCTCTGAGATTACCAAAGACTGTAGACAGCAGGGGAGGGAAGTTCTGAGCGGTTTTGTAAATCAAATTCTCATGTTTGTTTTCAGTGTTGTTGAGTTGGGGCTGTGCCTGGATTCACAAACTGGATCGAGTCGAATTGCAGTAGTGCTTTCGGGCTACCCAAACCCTTCCGTTGTTGTCATAGTCTTAAAGGCAGCGTTTGCTGAGGGATTTGGCAGACTGTAGCGTTGATGCACTAGAAAAGGAAGTGTTACATACTTAAATTTTAAGCAGTTTTATCCTTCAGTATTATTGTTGCCGCTTTATGCGCGATGCGAGCACAAATATCTCAAAGATGCACGTGTGATGCAGACGTAGCTATCCCGAAAGGCTGTTCACGTCTGGTGAATGCAGCCTAGCAGTGGACTCAAGCTGCTGGCCCTGCTTCTGAACAACCCTGTTGTCTTTTGGTGCCTGCTGTCTAGGTTGTGTCACCTCCGTTCATTAGTCCACACCTAAGCCCACTTGGTTTTATTCCTAGAGTTCTCCTGGACCAACTGGGTCCGTGGGAGAATGGGCTCCACAGCCAGCATTGACCCTTCAGAAATGATATGTAGTGCCAATCATTTCCAGTTGCAATCTGAAAATGAATGGTAAAGTACCTTTCAGTGTTTCTATTTCAAATCAGTTTTCAGGGAAATGGAGATTTGGGGGTGGTTTTGTTTTATGTTCCATTCCTATATTAAATTTGGAGTGCCAGAGAGGTCAGAGCAAACTTTAGACTTCTCTGAGAATCAGGTTACGTAAACCAAGATTAAAAATCCCTTTCTAGCCAATATAGTCCGTAATGTATAAAAGAAAAACAAGGCATAATTTAAAAGCTGTCCTTTTCTGGTGTGTGTATTTTAGCCGTTGTAGTTTGAGCCTTGTGTTATGGCTTTATTAATGGGAATGGAGGTAATTGCACCATTGGTAGAAATAGCTTTCTCCTTTCTTTTGTCTTTGCACTTGTTCTTTGGAGCATAACTTGCTTCTAATGCCAAATATTTCCCTAGGAACTGAGCATCTACACTTCCATTTTGTGGTCATGGCAGCGAGCCAGCATACTGAAGTATTAGCATGCGTGTTGTTCCCAGAACACGTGGGATCGATCATACTTTAATGGTTGTGGATGGGCGGGGTATTAACCTCAGTCATTTCTGCCTCCGAGCCCACAAGTGATGATTTCCGTTGTGCAACTTGACTGCAGTCACTGATTTACCTTGTAATTAAAGAAGCGTTAGGTGTTGTTTTAAGAGTCTTAGAGATGATAGCCATGAATTCTGTATATTTTTTGCTCCCATTGCTAATGGAAGATGACCAGCTGTTCTGTTCGTTTGGGTAAAATTTTATTTAGTCCTTTGCAAGAGCTCCGATTTCTTTTCTCCAATGGAGAAGCCAATTACTTCTGCTCTTGTCTTTATCTTGTCTGGCCCAGTGAGGAAATACGAAGGGAGTTGCATCCTACCGCAGAAGCGAGGTACAGACCAGCAACTAGGTGTGTCAGCAGCTGGCTGTGCGTACATGCGTGTATGTGTGTCTGACTGTACGATCCACGCCAAGCTCGCTCTCAGCTTGGAGGCTGCCAGTTCAAAGCACGATCCTTTCTGCACGGCCGATGGGTACTATATGAAGATGAGAGGAAGCTGAACTGCGGCATCCAAGTTCGAGCGGGCTCCTTTGCTCCACAGTACGGTAGGTCATCTCGGAGGCAAGCGCTGCAGACCTTGTCTTATGAGATGTTGAGCATCACTGAGCCCCTATGGCAACAGAGGTGGCTTAATTCCTCCTGGGTCCTGACTGAGAAAGGATTTACACTGGATGACTAGCCTCTTGTTTGGGACTGCGCAGGAGGGCAGCTCTGCGCAGGGTACCTCCTGCCACGTCAGGAGTGCAGCTCGTGGATTAAATGAAGGGGAAGCCTGTGGAGGAGGCAGCTTCTGGCTGGCCGACGCTGGCGTTGCCCACCTCGCGACTGAAACGTGGTGCAGGCAGCTCCTCTAGAGCCTGGGGACTCTGAGCTGAGAAACAAGACCTGAAGCACAGCCAGACTTGGAAGCATTGGGCTCAGATAAGTTGTTCCTTAATTAGCAGCTGCACCTGACTTTAATTCAATGGTATTTTAGCCAAACACGTTTTTTCCAAGTTTTTGCAGGCTGAGTGTTTGTTCAGAGACAGATCTTTGAATTCAGTCTGTAATGGTTTTGGTGCTTTTGTTTCTTGGGCAAAAGTGTCCAGAGCAACTGTGTGTTACTGCTTTGGGTTGTTTTAAATAGCTTTTTTTTTTCTTCTTCCTTCGCTGATTTGAATGTAGAAAAGGAGAAACGGAGTGTTCTCTTCCCTTCTTTTCATCCTTGCATGAATTGAGACATGTTCCAGATCTCTGCTGCCTGGAATGAGTGCCTGAGGAGTCTTGGGCATGCTGATTTGGAAAGGGAGGGTGCCTGTGTGCTGGCCAAGAAGGTCCATTGCCTTTAGCTCTGAGAAAGGAGACAAGTCTAACAGGAATATTCTCTAGTCCTTCTTTTCTTTAGAACTTCTTCACTACCCCAAATTCCCCATTTTTTGCATTTTATTCTTCTCAAATTCCTTGCTTTTATTTTCAAGTCATTTTTCTCACTTCTCCTTAAGGCATTACTGCCAAACATTAATTTGTGCTTTTTTTTTCCTCGTCTACTCTCCCTCCCTCCCTGCTTCTGCACCTTTAGTCCCGCACTAGCACTTCGAGAAAATCAGGTCCAATGAAATGCATCCAAAATGACAATATTGCAGCTTTGATAGCGATGCCCAGACACCCCAACGAGGCTTCCCGCTCACAGGCAGGGACGCTCGTGTGTGGGGGCAAGAAATTAAAGGCACTAGATGCTGGGGCAGAAGGTTTTCTTGAAAGGTTCTTGAACTACTTGTCCAGCCTAGCGCCTTTCCTTCTCCTAGCACCTTTCCTTCACAAGCTGTGAAATGCTGCTGCTTCTTATCGTTTCCTCTTTCGGTACCTCCATGCGATGCTCACTGTGCTCTGAAAGTGGCTGCTTGCTGGGTAAGGAGCTCGGGGAGAGCTGGTCCCTCTGGGAGCCTCGGAGGGTCAGTTAGGGAACTTGAATATGTGAGAGGTGGGATCTGAGCTGGCTTCTTGCAAACCCCTTTGCCCTGCACGCCCCGTGCAGACCTCTGCCAGTTCCCTGGGGAGACGGAGCTGCCAAAGAGCTGGCTGGTTGGCAGGACGGTGGCAGAAGGATCGGGAGAGGAGTCACGGCCTCCTGAGGCATGAAGTCACTCAAAGCCGTGGGGTGGGTAGCGTGGTGTAGCATTGGTACTCCGTGGAAGCTCTCCAGAAGCGGTTTCGTAGCTTCTATGGAAAAGTAGTGGTACTTCTGTTAACTTCTTACCGCCTTCCGCTGAGAAGGACTCAAGCACTATCATCTCTACCCTCTGGTGTCTTTAACACAGAAGCAGATGAGGCATGAAAGGAAACTTTGAGCAGAAGCACTGTGGCAACCCCGAGCGAGTCTGGTGCCAGTCCTGGGCAGGCAGGAGGAGGAGGAAATGCAGCGGGATAATTCCCATGCCATTTCCCCAGTGCCTGACTGGGCACCTGGGCTCCGCAGGGAGCCAGGGCGCACGTTACGGACCCTCCCCACCTGGACTGGGCCGGAGGAGGAGGTGGCCTTCCTACAAAGCAGCCTATTTTTTTTTTTTTTTTTATTGTAGGGGCTGATTCCTCCCGCTACCCCCCTCTCCCCCTTAAATGCCATGTGATGCAAGGTTTCCCAGCACTGTTCACTGCCTGTGTGGTCTATGCATATATTAGCACAAACACTGTTAAATGCCTTTTGTCAAGACGTGTCCTCACCATCAGTGTGTGCGTGTATGCGTGTGTGTCAATTTTGACTGCTTTTCTTGGATCTGGAGTTCTATTTTATTGCAGTGAAGACACTTTGTTATATAATGTTTATATATTTTAAGATTTGTGCCAAGAGAGGATGTATATTTAATAAAAAACATAATTGACTTTGCAGGCTCTCTGAGGGCGTCTCCTATTATACGTTGCTCATAAGAGAGAGGGGCCTGGCATGTCTGGGTGGATTTATCGAGGGACTGAACGCGGGGGTGGCTGGGGGGGCTGTGGCTGGGGGTACCTCCTGTGGGGCTGTCTGTGCCCCCAGCCACCCAGGGCTCCTGTGCACGGAGCTCCCTCCGAAGTCCCTCCCATGGAAGCCGGGATGAAGGAAGGAAAGCCCCTCTGGAGCTGGCTCAAAGCCGGTGGTTCCTCCGGAGGAGGCCTGTGCTGTCCCGGTCCCCAGCGCCGCAGTGCGGGACGGGGACGGGTGTGCAATGGCAGCAGGTGGCACTGTCGGCTTAGGCATGGCCCAGCGGCTTCCCCGAAGTTGGGGGTCCCCCGGCTGCTGCTCAGCCCTGCTCGGCTCTTGGGGCTTTCAGTGCTTCCAGCTGCATTTCAGGTCTGGTGTGGATGTGCCATTGCGCCGCTTTGCCATCTCGCTCCTCCCAAGGTGGGGAAGTCTCAGCAGTGAGGGCAGATGCAGCCCTCTCGGGGTGACCTCCCTGGAGCCCGCTGCTGCTCCCTGCGAGGCAGGGCAGAGCTGATGTCCTGGTTGTACCCCAAGGGCAACTGAGCCCCAGAGGCTGAGACTTGGCACTAAACCTTGCAGGAAGCCTGGGCAGAGCTGGGGAACGGTCCCTGAGCAGCTCTCCGGACCCTGCCAGTTGAGGTGGCATCCCTGCCTGTGGCTTTCTGGCTCCCTGTGCGCGGGGGAGCATCCACCTGGCTTGGTTTGGGCTGCCAGCCACGGAGAGAGCTGTGATAAGAAATTTCCCTCTGCCGCAAGCAGGAACAGCTCTGCGGGATGCAGGCAGGGAGGAGGGCAAGGGGATCTCATTTTGGATGGAAGTGGGGTGGGAAGGCAGGGCTCGCTGCCTCCCTCCCTGCCAGGGCATGAAGGGAGACCTCCAGGAGCTGCCGCAATCCCAGCCCTCTCCCCAGGCCGAGGGTGGCTCGGGGGGAGCCGAAGGTGGGTGTGCACCGGGGGAGCAGGGGCGATGCCGGGCCAGAGCTGGGTCACGGCAGGGCCTCCTGCTGCCAGCCTGAATCCTGGTGCCAGCGGAGCCTCTGCAGCAACAAAACCTCTCGGTCCCAGCTGCTCCCATCTGCCGAGAGCCTGAGCGTGGCCCTTGGCAAAGCTCAGCCCGTACCCTTTGCTAAATAAAGCAAAGATACAAAGAGTAGAAATAATTCTGGGGAGAGGAAGATGGGGGGGCCTTTTCATTTTATTTGATGTGGCCCAATTTCAGTGCCTGTGGATCTGTCTCCTGCTCTTGGCTAGTCTATCAGTCATTGTCCCCGCCTGAGAGGGTCACGTCTGGGCAGATCTCAGGGGAGGAACTGTCTGCATGTCTGAATGCAGCACAACCCCAGGCCCTAGCAACCGTCCTCCCGCTGCGAAGGCTTCCCTGCCAGCTCAGCCCCCGGCTGCTTCCTCCACATGCTTAAGGAAAATTAGATAAATGAGCCATCAAGGCAGTCGGACTAGCTTTTAATGGGACGGCGCAGGCTGGAACAAGTCCCTCTGCATCCTGGCCCTGGGGGGATCACTTCTTCCTTGCACCTTTCCACCCACGTCTTGGCGATAGGGCTGCTGGAGCCCAGTTCCTCCTGGCCCTGTGCTGGTTAATGGTGCTGCCCTGGGCTCTGGTTTCCCCAGCTGTTGGCTAAAGGGGAATTTCCCCATAGTTTTTTTGCAAAAGGGCTTTTACTGCGTCTGCAGCTTGGGTACTTGGGACTCAGGCAGAGGAGGGCTGTCCGGATTAGCCCTGTTAACACCGGGCAAAGGGCTGCCTTCTCATCTCGGCCCTTAGCAAGAGGGAATTAAGACCATTACAAGGCTATCAAATAGGATCAGAGCCCCTCTCCCTTTCTCCGAGCAGCCCAGACCTGCTAATCCTTTTTTCATGCAGCTGGACCAGCACCCACCATGCGGTGGGGAAGAGCTTGGCTGAGACGGACAAGGGGCTGCGGACCCTCTCCTCCCCTGCAGCCGCTGTTGAGCTGAGCAGCGCTTTATCAGCCCGGGTGCGATCCCAGCGCCGAGGGGAGGAAGGGCCAGGAGCCGGCACCGCGTCGGGCTGCGATGGGGTGAACGCGCGGTCTCCTCCTTGAGCGCGACGGGGCTGGGCTGCGGGGTTTGTTCAAGTGCTCGGCCTCTTCCCATGGCTGCAATAACGCCTACGGGGCTTTTCGCTGCTCTTTGCTGCTCGCCTGCCTGCCCAAAGGCAGCTGCCCTCGCACCGCGGGACCCCGTGCCCAGCTCGAGGGCCTTCAGGGCCACAAAGAGCAAACAAAGCAGCGGCTTTCAGCGTGGCAAATGCACTCTGGGTTAACTTATTTATTTCTAGAACAGCCAACAGCCGAAGCTGCTGGGCCTGAGGATTTCACACGAAGCAGAGGGATGACCCCAAGGACCTCCGACCCAGCTGGCAACCCTACAAAAATACACTCGCCCATAGCCGGTGGAGGCAAACGCTAGGCAGAGCAAACCCCAAAGCCTGTGCTGGCCAGCCGTGCTGGCGCTCCAGCCCAGCTGCGAGGTCTCCACCATGCAAGCGCAATCCCTGCCGAGTCCTCTGCCCGGCACGTACTGCCTGGGGCTGGAAGGAGCCCCTGCCCTCGAGAGAAGCAGCAGAGCCTTGGGCAGCCGCGATGGGTCAGAGCAGGCAGCAGCAAACCCGGCTGCGGGGCTTCAGCTCCTCCATCACCTCGCGGGGCCGGGAAGGGGAAGAGGGGCTGGAGGGACGCAGCCCGGAGTGGCAGCAGGGCGAGAGCAGGCACGGTGGTGATCGGCGGCAGGAGCAGGCGATGCCCACGCCCGCCCGGATGCATAAAACCCGTCATGACAAGAGCTGGTGGCAGAAATGTCCCCACGAGCGTGTCCACATGTGCCACAGGCACGTGCAAAGGGGGAAACCAGCCGAGGAAGGAGCAAGGGGACCAGCAGCCGGGTGCTGACTGCGCCCCGAGGCAGGTCCCAGCTCCCCCCAGTCAGGAGGCTGCCAGGTACTGGTGGAAGTAGAGGCCGAAGAGGCTGGTGACGACCTGGCAGGCGGCCACCCACCAGGTGAGGAAGGCAAAGAGTCCGCGGAAGAAAAGGGGGGTGAAGATGCCACCCAAGACGCCTGTGATCTGCTCCACCGCGGCACGCACGTCCTCTCCGTCCTTGCCGCCGGGATGCGGCGGTGCTGCGGTCGCTGCCGGAGGGAGGGGAGGGGGCTCCGGGTACAGCCCCCACGAGTGGTGCCCTGCGTGACAGAGGGGACAGGTCCACGGGGGTCGGTCCCTGTGCTGCAGCCCCATCCCCATGCTACAGAAGCGCTGGTGGCTGAGTCCCAGCACGCTCGCTGCATGCATTAGGTTCATGCCAACTGCAAACCATGCCTTGAGAGCCTGGGGACGCCTCGGATGCTGACAGCTTAACGATGACTTGCAGGTCTCATCCTGCCCCTCCTGAGCCCCCGTGTCCCCCCCCGCCACCTCCTTACCCAGCGTCTTGAGGAGCAGCGTGCAGTGGAGGGTGAGGATGACGGGTCCCAGGTACTGCAGGCTGACCACGGAGACGTAGCAGTAAATCCTCGTGATCTGTGGGCAGTGGGGATCAGCAGGAGGCCGGCGGCCGTGCCCGGACCCCTGCCCCCACCCCAGCTCCCGCATCCGGACCTTGCGCTGGATCTCCAGGACGGCGATGCGCCCAGCTTCCTTCCTCATCTGCTCCACCCAGCGCTCGGCCAGGCCCAGGTACGCCTGGAGGTGGTGGCGGGTGACGGCCAGGCGCAACAGGCAGAGGCCGACGATGGTCCAGAGGCGCGCAGTGTTGTAGGCAGAGTCCGACATGCTGGGGCAAAAGGAGGGGGCTGTCAGGGAGATCCCAGGGTCCAGAACCGCCCTGTGCCCCAGAGAGGGTGTCTGATGGGAGAGGTGGTGGCGGTGGGGAGGGTGGGGGTCTACTGGTGTTGGAGGAGGTGGACTGGTGCACCCGTGCCTCAGTTTCCCCTCGGAGCAAGGATGCCAGGGCATAGAGTCGGACCCGCTGCCGGTGCTCCGCTTACATCTGCACCGTCTGCTTGCCCATGGGCGCGTGGAGCAGGAAATCCCGTGAGATGGGCTTGATCCACATCACCACCACGAGGACGGGCGCCAGGAAACTCACGTGGAGCAGGACCCTGCGGCGGAGCCACCGTCAGAGACCCCCATGCAGCCTGGTGCCCCCCGCTCCCTCCCTCCATCCCTCCGTGGGCAGGGACCGGTCCTCACCCAGACCCCCTGCACCCTCTCCCATCACCAAACCTCCTCGCCACCCTGTGGCCACAGAGCCTGGGGGGGTCCCGGCCCCTGAGACGCCAGCACCGACCCCCTCGCCTCCTTCCCCGCCCGCAGATTTCACCCAACTGGGTCAGGGGCTTGTCGGCCGCCATCCGGAGAGCGTCGAGGTGCGTCTGGGCCAGGCGCAGCCCCGGGAAGGTCAGGCAGGCGCCCAGGAAGGAGCACAGGGCCACCAGCCCCAGCTTGAAGGCCAGCTTGGTGAGGGGCAGCCTGTGGAGAGAGAAGGCAGCGTGGGGGGGACAGGTCGGCCCCAGTGAGCCCCGGAGGGGTTCCCACCCCAGACTTCCAAAAAACCTCCCCAAACCCTGTTTCCCTCCCCGCCCTACCACCGACTCACGTCCACTCCCAGCCCCGCTGCTTCAGGATGCTCTCCAGGTTGCTGCTGACGCTGGCCAGCCCTGTGGGCAGCGACCCCCATGAGTGGGGTGCCCGCAGCCCCCGGGGACCACCTGGCCCTCTCCCTGTCCCCCCTCACCCACCGGGCTCGAGGCCAAACTCCAGGTAGTCCTCACGGATGACCAGGGCCACCATGGCGAGGAGAAGGAAGAAGAAGGCGAAGGTGAGGCAGACGGAGCGCTCGCCCCCCTCCTCCGAGCGAAAGTAATGGCGCATCACCATAAAGAAGACCTTGCTGCGGGCGAGGGGCGGCTGTCAAGGAAACCGGGGGCTTCGGGACCCCCCCCTAATGCCAGCGGGAGCCCCCTGCTCATTATCACGTTGTAAACCATCCGCGTCGTTAGGCCACTGCCACCTTCTCCTCCGCGGAGAAGGCTCTCATTAGGCACCTTTACAGCTCATCAGTGAGTGGTTTATAAATCCATAAATTTAATTTTTCCACCTCAACTGGCTTTTAATGGGGAAAAACAAGGACAGTGGGTTCCCTCTCCTGCCCAGCGGCAGCCTGGACCTGGCGGGTGGCAGCAATCGCACCCCAAAAGCTGGCAGAAGGATACACGGAGAAGATGACCGTCAGCAGGCACCAGAGCACCCCGATGTTCGTCTCCTTCTGGGGCTCCGCCAGGCAGTAGTAGCCCTCGGTGAAGACGTACACGGCGGTGGAGTAGACGGCAAAATCCACAAACCACTGGTACTCCAGGAAATAACGCAGCACTGGTGTGACAGAGGGACACGTCACCGTGCTGTGGGGACCCGCGGGGGGTCCCGGGCACAGCCGAGGGTCCCGGGCAATGCGGGGTCCTGCGTGCAGAGGGAGCGGTGGGTGCACGGGGGTTACCGAGAGCATCCACGGCGGTGATAGGGCTGGTGTCCAGGCGGAGGTCGATGTCCCGGGGCACGGAGAGGGGCTTGTCATCCGTCATGCCGTTCATCCTCCTGCAAGGGAAGCCCGGGCTCAGGATGGCAGGCAAAGAGCTGGCTCGTCCCTTGCGTGGGACACCGGGGGACGGTGCTGAAAGCCCCTCGCGTGGCGACACCTCCCCGGCTCGGGGCTCCTCGTCACCAGCACCGGCCCCAAGCCCGTCTGCGGCCGAGGCGGTCAGCGCTGCACGTCCCCAGGGGAGTCCCGCAGCCCACCGGGATGACTTCCATTAGCACCAAACCAAAGTATTTATCGTTTCAATTCCCTCCGGCCCACAGGCGCGAGCTGAGCTGACCTGTCCCGCTTGGCCTTGGGGCGCTGCTTGCCTGCCAGGGCGCAGAGCTCCTCGTCCGAGGGGTGCTTGTAGCGGCGCAGGCTGGAAGGGAGCAGTCGGGTGTCAGCGGCGTTGGGTGTCCCCGAGGCCCCAGGGGGACGAGCGGGGGGGACGGGCCGTGTACCTGCCGTTGCAGAGCAGCCAGCGAGCGAAGGAGCAGTGCGGGGCCATCTTCTGCATGATGCTAGCTGCCAGCAGGCTCACCACCACCTGCACCCCCATCACCGCCTGCGCCGGGGGCACCCTCAGGGGTCGACCCCGGCTTCCCGGAGCCC